TTCGTCTGAATGCAGACTAATGTGTTAAAGTATTATTAATTTACCGGAGAGTTAAGATATATTGATTCTCAGAATTGATGTTACTTAATATTCCATTATAATTGTAAGCCCTACATTGTATGCACGTGCCATTTTAGAATTCACGGGGTACAAGTAAACAGTTCCTACGTTGTAAGACCCTTGATTTTCCGGCAGATTCTAATTACGTTAATTTTGCATGAGGAGGGAATATTAATTTTTCTCAAATGCTTAATTCAACTTTTTACCTTATTCCTGAATGATATATTGGGTAAATTTATATGAAAAAGCACACGATTTGCATAGCTGCTAGAAAATAAAATAAATAATTCATACATATTACTAGTTTAAGTAACGTGGAAATCTCGAGGAAATCAAGATATTAGAGGTATTTGCCTGTTGGGGTGACGGGTAGGAGTACTTGCCCCAATTTCGACAAACAAGATATCTTGCATGCTCTTTGGTTGTAAATACCTGCCATATTTCTTTTATTAATTTAATAGTGAGATATAATCTAACAGGAGAAGCAAGCGAAAAAATTCTGACCCCTGGGCTCTCTCCTCCCCTGTCGGCAATTAAAATCGATGAATCGGGCCTACAAGATATTAAATCTCTGTTGGTCTTTTAAACACACAGAATGGATAGAATTCTATGGGAACATAGGTATAAACATGCATGCAGAGGTTCTATGTTAAAGTCGTTTCTTGCAGAAAAAAGAGCCATTATGATAATAATATTGTTCAATGGACATAGCAGTCTTTTTCCGGCAATTGGCGATGTAATGCACTGACTACATGTTTTCCATGTTTTCCATGTTTATATCTGTAAAGTTCCTTGTCTCTTTGTGGATTTTTTTAATAATGGGTCATGTATGAAATAAACCCTTTCTCTTTGTTATACTCCTGAGGATGAAACTTTAAAACTTTTTATAGTCCGTTAAAAAGCCCTTCATGGTTTAATCTTAAATGATGTTACAATATTAAACTTTACAATATATCATGCCGATTAAAGATTAAAAAATATTTTCAGAAATTACAAAATGATATTACATTACTAGTATTTCCACGATCAAAATATTAAGTTTTTATGAGTAATGGTAAATTAATCCCATTTTTAAGATAGGCTAAATAAATATTTTTTTTATTTCTCCCTATGAGGAATTTTGATTGCTTGTATCTTTCAAACGAGGATTGAAAATGCAGACAGTTGTTTAATTTCAAATCAGAATGTACTGTTTTCATTTTCTAATGACTAGAAGACAAATAAAATAACCGTTTAACATTCTTTCCTACATAATTTTTTCATTAGAACGTAAAATCATTGTTTCCAACAACAAGAGGCTAAAATGGCGTGAAACTCAGAATTATGACATAACGTCATAATCAGCTTTTCTTGTGACGTAAATGAGCTAACAGTAGGCCCAAAATAGGTCCATGGCACTTAAGGTCAAGATCTAGTAAATGAAAGGTGCCTACAGATTTATCAAATTTGAGAAATAAATTCCTTTATTGATGCTTTACAACTTTAGCTTGGTCAAATAAGGAGTTTCGGAGCATAATTTGTAGGTAAACAAGATTAAAAACTGTATTATAAACTATCATTTTCAATGAAAAACTAGTGCTAATTGTAACGGGGACCGTTACAGATGTTCCCCAAACGCTCCCCAACTCCCTTTTGGTGCCATTTTCCCTGACACAAGCTTTTATTAAATATGACAAACTCTATGCATTTGAAATTTTAAAAACGTTACCCAGAAGTGTACGAAGTTCATTCAAATTTTAGCATTGCACGCATGCGCATGTAAATGCAAGTGCGTAATGACCATATCATCTTGTCTACACAATCTATATATTTTAATATACTAAATAATAAAGTATTTAATCCAAAAATATTGAAAAATACGCTCATCCAAGTGTATTTTTGATTTTACTCATTTCACGTGCACGCACGTGCATGCATGAGCATGGTGACCATACTTTCTTGTAGAAGTCCATTACATCTATCAATGTTCTTAATCCCACCCAGTCTGGTTGAAAACCAAGAGAGTTATAGATGTTAAAGTTTCAGCCAATCAGATTGCGCAGGTACACGCACGTGTATGCATGTGCATGGTGACCATACCTTGTTGTAGAAAACTATTATATCTATCTATGTTCCAAATCTCATCCTATTTGGTTAAAAACCAAGGGAATTATAGCTATTTAAAGTTTAAGCCAATCAAATTGCAGCGCACGTGCATGCACGTGTTTTCATGATAATTGCTATATATCATTTTGTAGGATATTCTAATGCATGGCTATGTTAAAAATTTCAAAGGATTTCGTCAAAAAACAAGAGAGATATTGAGACTTTAGTTTCAGCCAATCAGAGCGAAGCGCACGTGCATGCGCGTGAGATCTTGCTATTTTGACCATGTCATATTGTCTATGCTACTAATTTATTCTTATATTATGAGTTTCAAAGCATTTCATCAAAGATGTAAAATGTTACGCCTATATCAATTAAATTGGCCACTTCACGTGTTGCACGTGCACGCTCTTGCAAGCGCGTGCGCGCAAAATGACCTTCGTTCAGCAAATCTACATAACATGCCTACTAACCCTAAAAAAGGTTTTACCTAGTCGGATGTGTAGTTTACAAGATCACTTCCGGACAAAAAAGAACCCAGGAAGAAGAAGATGAAGAATAATAATAAGAAGAAACAGAGTAAAAACAATATGTTCCCCAACTTCGTTTGGGGAACATAATTAAGAAAAACAGTCATGAATATGGGATTTTTTTCATATTCGAAAGAGGAAATCTATCCAGATTGCCTACAGTCTCTCAGAAAACGGTAATTAGTATGTTGGTGGCCTCTTCTTTAAATCTATATCAAAATTAATATAGGCATCCGGTTTACTTTTCATGTTATTTCAAATTGAATGTCATGAAAATACCCCTTTTTCTACATAATTCTGCTAAAGCTGTAAAGTACGGGAAAAAGATAGGTGAAATTGATTATAACGTCATAATGGATCTAGCACCAAAAAATTAGTCTAAAGTTATTTACTATATCTTGACCTTAAGGTCAAGATCTAGTAAATGAAAGGTGCCTACTGATTTATCAATTTGAGAAACAAATTCCTTTATTGATGCTTTGCAACTTTGGCTTGGTCAAAGAAGGTGTTTCGGGGCATAATTTGTAGGTAAACACGATGAAAAACTGTATTTTAAACTGTCATTTTCAACGAAAAATTAAGAAAACCAGTCATTAATATGGGAGTTATTTTCATATTCGACAATGGAAATGTATCCAAATTGTCTACAGTCTCTCAGAAAACAGTAATTAGTATGTTCGTGGCCTCATCTTTAACGATGCCCGATCTACTTGCTAACGCAGCGTCGACCCTGGCACGTCACAGTACTCTTGACTGCCGTCACAATTGAATACAATAACGTCACAATTAAAATGACGTCAAATTGCGCTAAAACGTTTCGCTGATCTTCCTCTATGAACTGTGTATGTTGAAAGCTAGCTTATTCTGGCATTTCTATTATTTACGTTTTTTTTTAAATATTTTTTGATTAATGAACAACGTTGGAACATAATTTTTTTTAGGTATCAATTTCTTGGTACAAATTCATTAATTTTATTTTGTTTTATTTCAATTAGTGAGTTAGAAAAAAAAAACTCTGCAAAAAAAGAAAACGATTTTAGTTTTTCTCATTGAACATGTTGACATGGTTATACATACCCTTTTTATTGAGGACTTAAATATGCATGGATTACCTTGAATTAAAAAAAATAAGTTTACGAATCCTTTAAATGCAACCTCCAAAATATTTTATTTTTCTATATATTATGATATTAGTAAAATTCGTCATTTTGTCGCCTTTTACCCCCCCCCCCCCTTTCCACCCTTTTTTCACGTAAAACAACGTCGTGTAATAAGAAAAGAAATAAAGCATCGAGAGAAAATTATTTCATAATATAAGAATGATTTCATTTTCAAAAAGACAAAAACCAGTACAGTATTACACTATTTTGTTGATGTTATGTAAACTCGTTGCGACTTATAAAATATCTAGCTGAATTAAAATAGGCCTTTTTTGTCATTTGTTAGGTCTCCTTTTCACTACAATAAAGGCTACCTCCAATTTTCTTTTCATTTTTAAAAAGAGGAATGAAAGTTGCACGATATATGTGAAAAACAAAACATTTCATCATTTATTATTTTTCTATTTGTCAATTCTTTAGTTTATTGGGTAGTTTTAGTATGTAATTGTGTTTAAAAGCACGAAAAATGGTCCATTTCTTGAAAGTGACCCCGTTTTACTACAATAAAAGCAAGGTAACAAAATTTCATTTTAATTTTTCTTAGCATAATACATACAAATATATTTCCAAAAATTAAATTTTTTTATCATTCCGTTTTCGTATTTTACAACTAGATTGGGCCTCGTTAAATCAATATCAAATTTAATATAGGTATCCGGTTTACTTTTCATATGATTTCAAATTGAATGTCAAAAAATACCCTATTTTCTACATAATTCTGCTAAAGCCGTAAAGTACGGGAAAAAGAAAGTTGAAATTGATTATGACGTCATAATGGATCTAGCACCAAAACATTAGTCTAAAGTTATTTACTAGATCTTGACCTTAACGTAGTTTTTGAAGATAGGCCCAAAATAGGCCCGCGGCACAAAGAATGTTAAAATAATGACGTCGCGTCTGAATTTTTTTCTAAAATCTCGACGTTCTGCTATGAAAGGTACAGTATTGAGCGTTATTTTTTTAATACATACATTTGAGTCATAAATTATATTATATACCCTTTAATTTAAAAAATCCTAGGCTTTTAAAAATGTTTTGAACCTAACAGATATGAAACGCGGCATTATTTGGCCAATACCGCACTTTGTTCTTTGTATTTATTTACAACTAATGAAAAACAACTAGAAAAAAATCATTTTAGTATAAAATCAATGACAAGCCTTACCAGCCTGACATTTTTCTCCCTCCACTCCTACGTCACATCCGTTCAGGCACGTTCCGTTGACATGGTTACAGGTCACCCCGTCAATACAGTTACCACATATAAAGGAACACTCCAGACCGTACCTCTGATTGTCACATACTGAAATGATCAATAAAACAACCAAAATTGAGAGCAGACTTTTCATTTCATACATGTAAAAATAATGCATATTTACTACACTTATAATTCTTAAGGTTTGTAAAGGTTTTCGAAAGATCGTCACATTATCAAAATTCAAGACAACGATGAGTGTGTGGTATTGGAGTGCTGAATAATGTAAACATTATGATGATTTTTTCCGTACAAATTTAGTATCTTCAATAAAATACGTGCTTCTCTCACTAATAAAAGTGATTACTGTCTAGTTTAATTACCTTATAAATGTTTGGCCAGGCAACAAAATGTTTTTGCTGACAGTTGTAAATTTTAACGTAACATTTAATGATTCCGTTTGAAAAGTTTTAGTTTTGTTAATGGAGAGTGTGCAAAAATTATTCTTTTTTGGAAAATGTGCACCTTTGTTTTCGATACAGCAATATACCCTATTTTGTTTAAATTTAAGTTAAAACATTTCAACGGCATAAATTGGTATTGTTCAAATAAGTCTTACAAGAACAAACGGGGCCTTTATATCCAAATTCACACTGTGAGGGTAATAGATTGATATGCTTATTCGCTTACCTTGATTACACATAGGCCCTTGATACCCCGGGACACAGCCCAGACATTCTCCTGTTGTGATGTTACATCTCTGTTCCTGACAGTTCTCTGAACATGGCTGATTACAATTTTCTCCATAGAACCGTGGATCAGAACATCCTGAAGAGAATATAGATCTATATACTGCTAGGAAATACAGCGATCAATTTGATATACCGGTACATGTATTACTATATATTATTTTAATATATGTTTAATATCCGATAAATGGACATTAAACTAGCCTAAACAGTGCTCACCAATAACTTCTAATTCACATAGTTCGTTATAAGCATATCGTGAATAGTAACTTGGATATGTAACACCCTGTCTTCCTCGTTCGTTGTAGTATATAACATAACGTCCATGTACAGGACAGCTTATTGTCTGGTTTTCTGTCGGTGTACCGTTCACTTGTTGTAACTCATGGAAACAAAGATGGCCGTCTTGCCTTCTAGTGGTATTGGAAACGTAAACAAAAAATCCAGCAAAGCGATTGTAGTAAGTACCAGGACCTTCAAACAAAATAAGTAGCTATAATTCAGAGGGAAAAAAGATCGTAGAGGCACCAGGACATGAAAAAATCTTGAAATAAAAATCTAAGGGATTTGGTTTCTTAGTGTCAATAATACTTATTCAGATCATTTATTTATTTCAAGCTACTTAGTTAAACTGAACAAATCTAGGATTCGGTAGGAAGGTTTACAGGAATTGTTTAATGTAAGTGTAACGAATTTAACACACACACCCTCACACACCCTCTCAGGCACACACACACACACACACCCTCTCTCTCTCTCTCTCACACTCACACACACCCTCACACACACACACACAGACACAAACACACACACACCAAAAAGCAAAAAATAACATTTTGTACTACATACTGGGTGTATTATCGGTCCTGTAGAAGATGTTGATGTAACTTATGCTGGCCACACTCTGTAGATCTACTCTCCACTCAGCTGTTGACTGACTGGGACCTGATTCTGTACACTGATTGCCTCCGACTGAACGGTCTGTGTATTGTCCGTCTACAGCCTTCGCTGCTCCCCATTCTACTGGCTTGTCAGGCCAGTCACTTTGTTGCCATGCTGGTTTATTCAAAGCTAAGTTTTCTGTCGTAAAAGACGTTCTTTTCCGTATAACACTTTATTTTAAAACATTACTACCAGTTAACAGACAATGAAGTTAGTATTACACTTCATACTTAAACAACAGACACCACACTAAACTGAACTAACCTGTTGAAATGTACAGGAATCGTATTTTTAGCTCTACTGGTCAGAGACCAGAAGAGCTTATGCGATAGTAATGCGTCCGTCGTCCGTCCGTCTGTCCGTCTGTAAACAATTTTTCAAAATGCTACTCCTCCTACAGTTTTGGTCTGATTTCAATATAACTTGGCACACAAGTAGACTACACTAAGATACATAATTCTGTGTATCGGTTTTTGATTTCGATGAACAGTGTTGCCGTTGTTACTGAAAATAGAAATTTTTGTGAAAATCATTCAAGATGCTACTCCTCCTACAGTTTTGGTCTGATTTCAATTTGACTTGGCATACAAGTAGACTACACTAAGATACATAATTCTGTGTATCGGTTTATGATTTCCATGAATGGTGTTGCCGTTGTTACTAAAAATAGAATTTTTTGTGAAAATCATTCAAAATGCTACTCCTCCTACAGTTTTGGTCAGATTTCAATATAACTTGGCACACAAGTAGACTATACTAAGATACATAATTCTGTATATCGGTTTTTGATTTCGATGAATGGTGTTGCTGTTGTTACTAAAAATAGAATTTTTTGTGAAAATCATTCAAAATGCTACTCCTCCTACAGTTTAAATCTGATTTCAATATAACTTGGCACACAAGTAGACTACACTAAGATACATAATTCTCTTTAGCGGTTTTTGATTTCCATGAACGGTGTTGCCATTGTTACTAAAAATAGAAATTTAAAAAAACACTCTCAAAATGCTACTCCTCCTACAGTTTTGGACTGATTTTATTATAACTTGGCACACAAGTAGACTTCACTAAGATACATAATTCTGTATATTGTTTTTTGATTTCAAAGAACATTGTTGCCGTTGTTACTAAAAATAGAAAATTCTGTGAAAAACATTCAAAATGCTACTCCTCCTACAGTTTTGGTCTAATATCAATATAACTTGGCACACAAGTAGACTACACTAAGATACATAATTCTGTATATAGGTTTTTGTTTCAATGAACGGTGTTGCTGTTGTTACTTAAAAAAGAAATTTCTTTGAAATACATTTAAAATGCTACTCCTCCTACAGTTTTGGTCTGATTTCAGTATAACTTGGCACAAAAGTAGACTACACTAAGATACATAATTCTGTGTATCGGTTTTTGTCATTATTCTATTTATTGCTTTAGTAAAGTTTTATATCCCAACTGCTACTTTTCTCTTTCTTTATTATAACTACAAACCAGTAGAGCTTCAGCCTCGACAGAGACTTCTGGTTAAGAAATTCTTGACGCTTTGTTAATGACGTTTATGCTCTACGGGTACAAAACATGTAGATTTTAAAATGAGGTAAATTGATTTATATTAAATCAAATGAAATGAAACTTCAAATATCAACAAAACAAATATTTTTACACAGGATATTGAGCTATTTTAAAGTTCTTAAAAGTAATATAACGAAGATTGACATCGTCATTGAACTTTTTGAACAACCCTTGTAGTTGTACACAAATGGAATTTGAAAGTAAGAGTGCAACGGCACGGTATTTTTTTTCTGGCATGTTCTGTTTTCAAATATCTCGAACTTTCCCGGCAAAAAAAAATTTGCCCAAAATTCAATATATGTATAAGTTACAGTGGCTCAAGTTTGTATGGAAGGCTTTGGGAAAATATTTGGTGGTGCTTGTCCTACAAAAAGGTTTATCTGATTTCAAAACCACTTATATAGGAGGTGTGCAATGGCAATATGTAATAAAGATTCTGTCGAAAACAATTGATTGGAAAAATCGAATGAAAAATCGCATCTTGTGACCTCACCTTTAGAATGCAAGAGGATTGACCAATAGAACATTTTTAAAAACAAGAGGCCCATGGGCCACATCGCCAACCTGAGCACTCTGGCTAGGAAAAAGAAGAAATTGGTTTATTATTGAAAAGTTTAAATCCAAAAGTAGTCCCATGACCAATCATTGCTTTGCTATTCTTGAGAAGATGATTTTTAAAGAATTTTCCTATATATTTCTATGTAAAACTTTGATCGGCCATTGTGGCCCCGCCCTACCCCCAGGGGTCATGATTTCAGCAAACTTGAATCTTCACTACCTGAGGATGCTTCCCTATAAATATGATCAATTATGGCTTTGTTATTCTTCAGAAGAAGATTTTTAAAGAATTTTCCTATATATTTCTATGTAAAACTTTGGTTGGCCATTTTGCCCCCGCCCTACCCCCGGGTTCATGATTTGAGCAAACTTGAATCTACAGTACCTGAGGATGCTTCCATATAAATATAATCAATTATTGCTTTGTTATTCTTAAGAAGAAGATTTTTAAAGAATTTTCCTATATATTTCTATGTAAAACTTTGGTTGGCCATTTTGGCCCCGCCCTACCTCCGGGGTTCATGATTTGAGCAAACTTGAATCTACACTACCTGAGGATGCTTCCATATAAATATAATCAATTATTGCTTTGTTATTCTTAAGAAGAAGATTTTTTAAAGAATTTTCCTATATATTTCTATGTAAAACTTTGGTTGGCCATTTTGGCCCCGCCCTACCTCCGGGGTTCATGATTTGAGCAAACTTGAATCTACACTACCTGAGGATGCTTCCATATAAATATAATCAATTATTGCTTTATTATTCTTAAGAAAAAGATTTTTAAAGAATTTTCCTATATATTTCTATGTAAAACTTTGGTCGGCCATTATGGCCCCGCCCTACCCCAGGGGTCATGATTTGAACAAACTTGAATCTACACTACCTGAGGATGTTTTCCCATAAGTTTCATCTTTCTTGGCACAGTGGTTCTTGAGAAGAAGATTTTTAAAACATACCACCAAATTTTCATTAATTCCAAATTATCTCCCCTTTGAATTAGGGCGTGACCCTTCATTTGAACAAACTTGAATCCCTTTCACCAAAGGATGCTTTGTGGCAAGTTTGATTGGCCCAGCGGTTCTTGAGAAGAAGTCGAAAATGTGACAAGTTTATAGACAGACAGACGGACAGACAGACAGACAGACAGACAGACGGACGCCGGACAAAATGTGATCAGAAAAGCTCACTTGAGCCTTCGGCTCAGGTGAGCTAAAAATCATTACCAAAGTAGAAATTCATCTTTCATGATTGCATCGAAGTCTATGGTAACAAGTACATTATTAAAGAAAAAAATCAATTCTTCGAATATACATTAATGCTGTGGTGAAAAGATGCATATAATCATTAGAAAAAAATGATTTTAAGATATATTTTACTTGATAGATTTTTTCAGAATTGATTTTTTATTGATCAAAGGACAGGACAGATCATAAATTAGGACACGTACCGCTCAGGACCACATACTTATACTTAAACATGAACATTATTTCTATATAAATTCCGAGTATTCAGTCTATTCAGATGTGTTATGAATTCAGTTCCATTGAATATGAGGCTAATATGAATCGGATAGCTTTTAAAAGTCAGACTCGAACTCAGCGAGTTCGCTCTACCCACTGAGCTTCCGTAAAGGGTAAACCCGCATTGAATATCGGGGCGGGGATTGTCCACATTTATCTGTGAAAAAAAATGGTACTGTAATTTAAATTTTAAATCCTTACCATAAGATTTCGTACAGCTGACAAGCAGAAATATCAGGACAATGTCGATAACCATGTTTACCTGCCTCCTTTTCTATTCAAAATAAATTTTTAATATCTTTCAATATATGGAAACAACGAACACTATTCCAACTCTAAAGTCCATAATTGAAATATCTACACAGTGAAAGAACAAGTGATACAGTCCAATCGGGACTTGAAGGTTATTTGATAGGTCAATGGCTCATAAAATATTAAAAACCAAAAGTCTCTGTCGAGACTGTTGCTCTACTGGTTTGTACTTACCGGTATAATGAAGAAAAGAAAAGTAGCAGTTGGGACTTAAAATTTACAAAAGCAATAAATAGAATAATGATATTTGATTAAGTCTCTTTTTAAGGCAAGATTGCAATAAGATTACAGCTGTAGGAGTAGCTTTTAATTAAATTTTACTGAATCTTCAATTTAAATTTCTATGGAAACATAAATCATCAAATTAAAAACACAAAACTGTTAAATATGTATCTCAGTGTAGTCTGCTTGCATGCCAAATTATATTATTTATAATCAGACTCAAACTGTATTTGGAGAAGCATTCTGAAAGTATTTCTCAGATATCTCTATTTTTAGTAACCAAGGCAACACCATTAATCAAAAATCAAAAACCGATACACAGAATTATGAATCTTAGTGTAGTCTACTTGTGTGCCAAGTTATATTGAATTCAGATCAAAACTGTAGGAGGAGTAGCATTTTGACTGATTTTTACAGAAATTTGCAACAGGGGGGCCAGGGGGGGATCCACTTTTTTCCCAACATTACCTTTACTATAGAAAATGTCCATTGAAAAGATGGTTGCCCCCCCCCCCCCACTTTTTACCACAGTATATATTTATAGGAAGGAAATATTGGTAAAAATTGGAAGTAAAGGAAAGTTGGCCTTCAAAAAAGTTGGCCACTTCAAACCCCCCCCCCCCCTCTCACGAAATAGGATTTTCGAGTTTGGGCAATTTTAAACTTTCCGTTTCTTTTTTTGTTTTTTATTTTTTTGTCAACTTTTTTTAGGTAAGTAAAAAAGTTTTCTCAGTTTGCCCCCCCCCCTCTTTTCAAAAACGATGCTACCTGCCTGTTCTATTTTAAGTAACAACGGCAACACCGTTCATTCAAATCAAAAACCAATACATGTATACAGAATTATGTATGTTAGTGTAGTCTACTTGTGTGCCAAGTTATATTGAATTCAGATCAAAACTGTAGGATGAGTGGCATTTTAAATGATTTTCACAGAAATTTCTATTTTTAGTAACAACGGCAACACCGTTCATTGAAATCAAAAACCGATACACAGAATTACATGTATGTATCTTAGTGTAGTCTACTTGTGTGCCAAGTAATACTGATTTCAGATCAAAACTGTAGGAGGAATAGTATTTTGAATGTATTTTTTTTAAATTCTTTTTTTGGTAACAACGGCAACACCGTTCATCGAAATCAAAAACCCATATACAGAATTATATATCTTAGTGTAGTCTACTTGTGTGCCAAGTTATATTGAATTCAGATTAAAACTGTAGGATGAGTAGCACTTTAAATGATTTTCTATTTTTAGTAACAACGGCAACACCGTTCATAGAAATCAAAAACCGATATACAGAATTATGTATCTTAGTGTGGTCTACTTGTGTGCCAAGTAATACTGAATTCAGATCAAAACTGTAGGAGCAGTGGTATTTTGAATTTATTTTTTTTAAATTCTATTTTTGGTCCATATACAGAATTTTGTATCTTAGTGTATTTTACTTGTGTGCCAAGTTATATTGAAAGCAGATCAAAACTGTAGGAGAAGAAGCATTTTGAATGGTTTTCACAGACATTTCTATTTTTAGTAACCATGGCAACATCGTTCATCGAATCAAAAATCGATACACAAAATTATGTGTCTTAGCGTGGTCTACTTGTGTGCCAAGTTATATTGAATTCAAGTCAAAACTGTAGGAGGAGTAGTATTTTGAATGGTTTTCACAGACATTTCTATTTTTAGTAACCACGGCAACACCGTTCATCGAAATCAAAAACCGATATGTAGAATTATGTACCGTAGTGTAGTTTACTTGTGTGCCAAGTTCTATTGAAATCAGACCAAAACTGTAGGAGGAGTAGCATTTTGAAAAATTGTTAACAGACAGACGGACGGACGCCGGACGCATTACTATCGCATTAGCTCTTCTGGTCTCTGACCAGTAGAGCTAAAAACCTGTTTCATTATTTAAAATATTTTACAAAATAAAATGTATTATAAAATATGCGCTTAAAAAATGCCTCAATTCTACTGGGAAGTGAAGAGAGCATAAATTTTAGTTATGTTTTGTTTGTTTAAGAAACATTTATAAATGAAAATTTCATAACTAAACAACTTACAACTCGTTAGTTGATGTTCAGACTAAAAAGGAACGATAAATGGTGACTTTAACTGAAGCAAAATCATAACTTATATGTAACATTGACAGTAAATATACCATTACACTTGGTACACAAGGGAAGCAGTGATCAATCTCAACAAAACAAATATTGTTTGAATCGCATATGTGAATGGGTGAATGGGAGGTAGATACCTCCGATTTAATTATTAATAAAATCTAAAATGTGATACCAATAAAAACTAACCTTATATTGCAAACAGGGTTCATTTATCGCCAGTGTGCATATCATGTAAAAAAAGAGTTTTAAGGTTCATTGTACAATAAAGATAGGCGCCTTAAATGCTAGACCTTTTAAAACTTCCTTGTTGGTTTATTTGCATGTATAAGTATAGTAGATTTATAAAGCACTTGTAACTAAATGAGAGGTTTTCAAATAAAGAATTTATCTTTACACAGGGTTGTAACCGGTTGACAAGGAATGTGCACTTCTCTGTGTAACCTGATCTTAGCTATAGGTCCGCTTTGTAATTGTTTATTTCAGACTAAAATACCAACTGCACTGCTACCCTCATACCTCACAAACCGTGAAATAAATACTCTCCAGGAAGAGGGAATGCTCGAACTTCCG